CCACCCACCCACCCAGGCCCATCAGCACCACCTCTTGACATCATCATCAGCATAAAAACAGTTGAAAACCATTTAAGTGGTATCCCCTGTTGAGAACACTGAAGGTAGTATAATGCATCATAAATTACTAAGCACATTGATGTTATAATAATGTTAAAATAACTCCCAGCCAAATTGTATCAGACTGCATGAATCTTTCAAGTTGAAAGTTTCTTATTAAGCCATATTTTTCTATTCCTTGTTAAACTCAATGCCAGCACAGGGTGTGCGGAAACGTTTTTCTTTTCATCTGAGAAACCTCAAGGCAGCAGCCGTTTAAGTAAAAATGACGCCATAAAATAAAGATTTTCCGTGAATAATTGTAAAAAAGTTTTCTCTCTTTTACCTTGAGTTATTTCTCTGACATACTTCCCTGTGCTATTGCTGTATCATTCTCTGACTCTGGATGTAATTTATATTTTTTCCTCTCTTTATGGGAAGCAGTTAATATTAAATTACTCACCACACAGCTGCTCAGTATGTACAGTATCTGTAGCAGCTCATAAAGGAGATAAAATACTTGCACTGTTCCTGTGGGTCTACTGAGAGAGAATCTATCATGTGCTGGCTATAATGCCTACCTTTAAACTGCCTGTTTGACTGTAACACTGCATTTCTCTGCTTATTTTAAAGTATTTTTGTCCATCTTTACACTAATGTGACCCTGTCCAGTGGAGGTTCAACCTATGTGTCATTTATGAACAAAAACTTTAAAAGCCTGCAAAGCATTCAGAAGCTTCAGTTTTCATATAATTTCATTTCTTGGCAAATTTACTGAAATAATAGTTTCAACATGAATATGCACAATGAATTGCATGTCTGTTAGATTGTCCTAAAGCAGAGATATAGGGCAAAAAGGAGAAGACAAAAAGTTGCACTTTGGATCTTATTGTATTATTTAGGTTAGTTTTTGTATTCATTTAAATAGTCGCTGATAGTAGACAAAGTTGGATTCAAGTCATTTCCCTCCGTGCTGAAAAGGTACAGCAGCTTTTATTAGTGCTAATTGATTTCTGCAAATGTCGGCCGGTATCATCTGAAAGCTCCCGCCCGTCTCTCATTAGGCTGCCATTTCATATGTATCACTTTCGAACACAGGTGTTGGTTTGTTCGGATGACAGGTTTCTTTGATATGAGATGTAATGGAGTGCAAATGAAGCCATTAGAGTGATCAGGGGAAGAGTAAAACACCGAGAGCCTTGGGCAAAAGTCCCACTGGACTTTTCCAGCATCAATATAGCTGGCAGCATTTGCTTTAGTTGTGTTAATTTGTTGACAGGGCGGTTCAAATTATGGCAGAGCAAAACAATCAGATGATGTAGTTGTAAATATTAACTTAAGGTGTCTAACTGTTAGGTGCACTGAAAGAAAATCTGTATGGAGAAAAAAAAGGTAAATGAAAACCATTTGCTGAAGTTGTTTTAAAAGTTTCTGGAAACGTTTAACTAAATGACAGCTTGTAAATTTTGGCCCACAATGGTCATCCACCATTTTTTGGTTCGATAAACACCAACACGGCTGTCATATATTAGTGAAAAATACGGTTAGCTGTATGGAGTTCTCTTCCATACTCAACGGTTGCCTGGTAAGCCCTCACCCGTTTGAGTTATGCTGATTAGCTGAAGTTCAGGCATGCTGCGGTTGTCCAGTAAGAAACAGATACAGATAAAGTTGGATGATGGATTTTTATATCGAAGTTTACAAAGTACAGATATGTGGTTCTGCAACAAGAAATAAAAAAACATAACTGATTACCAGTATTCACAATAACCATGAGCTTACTCACATTCAGCAACAACATATATAAACACAAGCCATGAATATAAATGCAGATAGAAAATATATAAGTTTACAACACTCACACAATTAATAAACTGGGAAAAAAGGCTCCAAAAATGCCCTAAGTGGGGTAGCAAATACAGTTTAGCTCAATGGGGTTACATACAGAAGCTAACAGGCCCATTTACACCATTGTTTAGAAATCAGCCTCAATTAACACACCAAAGTAAGCTTATATAGCATTTTAGCTGGCAAAAAAGGGTGGCTATAATCATTAACATCAATATATGGATTTTACGTAACATTAAAACACAGTTACATTAATCAGAACTATCTAAAGCTGTTTACTCACTTCATCATTAACGTACTGCACTTAAGGAAACTTCGACCACTCCGGTTGTCTGTGTTATTGTCTATCTGCAGTAGGGCAGCCTAGACAATTTGTATGGAAACCTGACGATGACTGACAGCTAAATTAACCAGTGAGAAACAACTTGTCTGAAAGAACTACAAAAAAAAAACAGTATGAGCTGGACTGGCCCTTTTACAATTAGTTGTTATTTAATGAAGAGGCATCAGAAGAAAAATGCAAAGCAGACATATCAAAAAGAAAAAGAAAGCTCTCATTCAGAAAATTAAGATACCAGAAACATAAAAAGCCCAAGATTCCATCAGTATAACGGCAACAATAAATGTCCAGCATTGATAAAAAAGATCGGTTTTGTCCTCAAAATGGACAAAGGAGGAAAGGATACTGACTTCTTGTTCCCAGAAAGAAGCAAGAAACTCAATACTCTTTGTGGAAATATGTTAGACCTCGGGGTTCTTCATAGTTTGCAATGAGACTGTTGGAAATATAAGACTGGTATAGACTTTTTTGGACACATAATGTAAAATCAGCGATTGTAACTGGCCAGAGCACAAAACAAAATGGTCCATATCAGATATTATTAATAAAACTATCACAAGTATTACCCTAGAACACCCCCTCAAATCAAATTAAGACCCCCTCCCTGCCTCAGGGACCTTATTGATCATTCAGACATGGCTGTATTGTAAAAACACTGAAAAACGTATTTGTAAAACCATCAAAACACTTTTGCACCATATGTTCTTGCTAAAAAGTTTTTCTTCTGATTTCTTTTTGCTGTCTGTCATCCGATAGTCATTGTTATCACATCTACTCCAGGATGTTTCCTTGTTATTTGCTAAACTTCCCTGTAAATATTGGAGGTTTCAGCCGTTCTATAGAGAGAAAACATAATAAAAGAAAAAAAAAATTTATCTATTGATTAAATCACTTTGTTGGTTGGTGTACTGTTAGCTGTTGCTGAGCTTTTCTTTGCCTGCAATAAGTTTAACAGGGTTCAGCACTCATCTTCAGTACTCAAATCTTGAATGGGTGAAAGCCTGCATATGAAATCCATTGATCCATCTTTCCATCTATTGTCTATACTCGCTTGTTTTTGCATCGTTGCCTAGGCGATGGGACTTTGACCAGTGCCTTAGTCTGGAGGTCATTCAATGAGATGGCAATTTACATCCTGGACACTTCATCAGTCCCTCACAGAGACACAGGATAGACAACATGTACACACACTCTTGCCTTATTGCAAAATAAAGAAACACATTTAACTAAATGCTCATCTGTTTGGATTGAAGGAGAAAGCTTCATTATCTGGAAATAGCCATGTATTCGTGCTACAAGGCAACAGTGCTTCCAATTAAATCACTTTGCATCCTGTAAAATCTGAAATCCTCTAATAAAACCAGAACAGAACTTTTCACTTGAACTACCTGCATTATTTATAGGCCACACCCCCTGCGGTGGCAGCATTATGCTGTGGGAATGTTGGTTGACTTGTCCACAGACACAGAGAGATAACAAATGGTTCTTATTTCAGATTCTTCAAAACAAAAACATTGCTCCAGAGTGTGCAGAACTCCAGACTAAAGCAGAAGTTCATCTATCAACACAAAGGTGCCCCGAAGCAAACAACTAAGATAATAAAGGATTGTTTCAGGAACAGTGGATTGCAGAAAATAAACCAAAACAGAGATTTGAAAACTGCCAAAATATTAGGCAGTGAGTGTGTCAATGTTTTTATTAGATTTGAATGTTTAAACTTTTTATTAATTTACAACATTGCTTTTACTCTGGGACTATGTACATTTCTCTAAGGGGAAAAAAAGGATTTCCAATACAGAAATTAGTAAAATAGATTTCTTCAGAATGTTGCCCTGAAAAACATCTTAATGTAGTGTTGTCAGGTTCCCTTTTGCAGGTTTCGTTTTTATTCTATGATCTGTTTAAATGGACATAACAGGAACACACAGAGACATAACACAGATCAAATCCTCTGTGTCCCCTCCCCACCAGACCCCCACAGTTTCCACACTTGGCATAGAGACAAGCTCACTCCCTGTATTCATTTTATAAAGATGAAAACACAATCAATACACTGAGCCGGGAATTGGAAGTCATTTTCATTAGAGCTGCTGAGAGTTGTGTAGTCATTACCAGCAGATAGCGGAACGGGGCCCCGGCTGCAGGCAGCCATTTGTATTCCAGACGCCTGCCCTTCCTCTCTCCTTGCTTCCCATCTTACCTCTTTGGTCTATCTCTGTCTATCAACCTCCCTTGAATTTATTTTACCTTCTCTCACAGAATCCGGTCTACCTATAGAATTTTATAGATGATGTCTTTCTCTCCATCTTAAAGGAAAGTAGTCATACTTTTATTTATTCTTTACTCTCCCCTTCTACTGCTGGCTAACCATGCCCATTAAACACCCCTTGGATTTTCTTGTTTTAGAGTCTAGCTTCTGCATTTTTCTGCTTTGTTTTCTTTCTTTGTTCTTTTTTTTTTCTGATTCCCATGAAATATTCTTTTAAAGGGAAGGAAGCAACTTAAAACACAGCAACAAAATTCAACAAGAGAGGCCATCAGCGCACGCTCAGGGGAAATAACGGTGGCTGGCAGTGGTCGTTGGAAGCTGTCGTAGCCAAATGGAGGTGTTTTTTCTCCCACTCCCCCTCCCTAAACCTCTGCCACTCTGGGCACTCTGAGCTTATTGTCATAGAAATAGAGTTTACCACCCTGCTATTCAAGAAGAGACAAGAACAAAGCCTGATGCTTAGTAGTTACCAACCTACGCGAGTAAAAACATAAAACGCACGCAACCGCCAATTCCAAGACAAAGGCGCTTGCAATTATTTCCATTCATTTTACACAAAGACTGAATTAGATTTCCATGATGTCAGTAACTATTAGGCTCTGACTAAAACATGCTAAAGCTCATTTAAAATAATTTTTAAAAATCTATTTTGATACATCATCTACAGCAGCGTTCCCCAACCTTTTTTTTTTGGGGGGGTAAGTACTAAAATACTATTAAATAAAATTATACGACTGGCAAAAAATCAAATAGAAACAGCATAAAAATAAAACTCACCATTATGTTGAATTAGTTGGAGTCCTGAGCTTGTTTCTGTGAAATAGCCGGTCCCATCTAGGCGTAATCGGAGACAATGACACACAAAGTGCGCTCCTGATGTCCAGTCTGCTTTGTAGCTCTGTTTCGGTCGCTGTAACTACAGAAAATCCCGCTTCACAAAGAGAGGATGTTATAGATAGGATGCGTCTTGACCTTAATTAACCTGTGTCAAGAGGCACAGATGCACCGACTGATGTAATTGGGAGAGAATACCCCAATTTTTTACATTTTTCTAAATAAAACATCACTCAGACTCTGATCGTTGATAAATTATATATATATATATTTTTTTTTTCTTTGCGGCCCGGTACCAAATGACTGACGGACCGGTACCGGTCCACGACCCGGTGATTGGGGACCGCTGATCTACAGTACACTGCAAAAAAACAATCTAGAAATAAGTCATAAATTCTTAAATTAGGTGTATTTGGCCTCAATTTGAGCAGTTAAATAAGTTTATTTGCCAAAGGAACGAGCTTTTTTATTCTTAAAAAAAGATATTTAGATAAAATACACTTGAAATAAGACAATGTAATTGTGTTTTCTTATTTTAAATGTAAATTGTCTTGTTCCATTGGCAAAGTGTCTCACTTACCTCCTCAGTTCAAGTAAAAATTAACTTATTTTAAGAAAAAATGACAGAGATTTCATTTTTGGCAGTGTATAAGCCAAGTGGTGCACTGTATCTGCTTTTTGAACATGCTTCAAAAAAAATCAGTGGGAGGCGACCTCATCTGGTGGTCAAATTTGGTATTCTACAGTTAAATTCAGAGGACTGCATCTCTAGACAGTTTTTTTTTTTCTTTGCCAAGGGCATCATGCAGTTCTACCATTAAAAGAAAAGCCAGATATGCTACCATATGAAAGGGGGATAGGGAATGTAGCTCCACAGCTTGTGTTTTGCAAGAGTAGTCCTTTTTGAACAGGATAATTTTTTCATATAGTTCCAACTAGTATCTAGTGTGATTTGCAGTAAGGGGCATGGATCTGAGATGGCAGAATAAAAGGAACCCTCTTTTATAGTGGCATCATAAATGACCCATTTTCACAGTAATCAAGACTGAAGTTTTAAAGTTGAAATTTAAATAAGTTGTTTAGTTTTTAAAAATGACTGTAGTGAACCTTATAAAAGCAAGGGAGCCCAAGTCCAGTCCTCCAGGGCTATCCTCCCACTTTTAGATTCATTTCTTCCCAAACATCTCTACATCAAATGCAGGCCGCATTACAAAAAGGCCTCATTTATAAAACATTATGTGGAATCCACACAAAAAATTGGACTTATAAAGCTATGTACAAACTTCGTAGCATGCAATTTTCATTTATAGATCACAGCTCCATCTCAACATTTGATAACAATGTTCGCCCTTTGTTCTTCCCTCCACACATTTAGACTTAGACACACTGTATTGTCATTTTGTATACACTGATGATTGAAAAGAGCAGTTTACAACAGTGAAATGAACATTACCGTTATAAAATGCAGCGTTGATCATCATGTAAACAGTATGGGAGAGAAAAGAAAGCCAGTTTTAAAAATATTGGTGTAAAAGGTCATTAATATGGAAAAGCTCAGTGCAGGGCAAAATAAATATGGTGCAAAATGCAGTAGAGCATTCAGTTGTTTCTTATTTAGAAGGATTATAAAAGTTTCAGCCACATTGGTGGTGCAAAAATAATGTCTGAAGTTTTATGCAGAGTTCAAAAGTTCAACAGTCTGATGGCAGCGGGGAAAAATGCTGTTGCAGAACCTGCTGGTCCTGCAGCTGAAGCTGCAAAGCCTCTTTCCAGAGGGCAGCGGGGAGTCCATGGTGGGAGTGGGAGGGGTCACTGATGATGTTACGGGCTCAGGACATGCTGGGATGAAATGTCCTTAGTCGAGGGAAGAGGACATTTCATCCCAGCGCTGCATTTACCCATAAATGGCAGAGGACCACATGACTTTTAATATACATTTAAATGAGCCAGCTGACCAATGCTGTTTCATGGTTAAAATGATAACTATGTATGGAAAGGAAAAGGGAAAAAAACCACAGTTTTAAAGAGGTAGAAATTTGCAGTTGGGATAATATTGATCGCCACATTATAGGCGTGAAAAATAAGAGGAATTATTATAAATGGTAACTTGTTCAAAATGTGATGTTTGGACTGTTCATATTAACGATGCTGCCTATAATACCTGGGACCTATTGATAATTATAAAGAATGATTTCGTTCTAAAAAGTGTCTCAAATTAAGAGGGTTAATTAACTGTTTCTTAGGAAAATAAAAGGAAAAGAAAATCTGTATAAGCAATGCTGCGTTGTTCCCTCCACATGTAAATAAACAATAATACAGCATTCTGATCAAGTTAGTCATAAATTGATTATCTGTTATAAAGAGTGAAATGAATGCCAGGATGCAGTCTATTTTGAATTTACCACTTTGGCATCTTTGTAACCAGCTTTCACTGTCTTCAAAAGGAAATGTTAGGTACTGTGAGGACTGAACATGTTTTTGCATGGAAAGTGACCTTTTAAACTTTCACACCCTGTTTCCATTTGCAACATTTATTAACTAAAACACAGGCCTCTACAGAGCAAAAGAACATGCAGATTGAGGGTTTTGCTCTTTTCATTCAGGGATGCATTCAAAGTTGGAGGATGGACTTTGGCATCCCTATAATCTAGTACCTTCAAAGGTAATGAACTGAAAGCAGCAGCTGCTCCTAATGTATTTTATGATGTTCTCATTTCAGACCACAGAGGGTGAATTGGCTGAAGGTGGACGATGATTTTCCGTCCCATGCGGTAATCATCGGAGGGGACCTCTACATCGAGAATCTGAACAAGTCCTACAACGGGACCTACCGCTGTATGGCGTCCAACCCGCTGGGCGAGTCTTTCGATGACTATGTCCTCTATGTCTATGGTAAGCCATGAACTCTGCTAAAGCTTTATGATCTCTGCATATCTATCCCCTGTACCTGTTGTTTTTATTCCGTTCATTCAGCTTTTTGTTCATCCACTGAAGGATCTCGCCTAATTTATGAGGTTTCTTTGATTTATGCAGATTCTGTCTGGTTTATTCAAGTCTTTAAAAGTCTTGAATACTTTGCTCAATTTAAGCCAGTTTTAGGAGACTTAACATGAACAGCAGCATAATTAAATGTAAAACACTGACTGATTTATGAGGCTGCTAAGCTGTTAACACAGGTGCTCATTTGTGACACTTGGAGCATACTAAACACTCTGCTGGCATAATTCAAGAAATGCGACTTGACTTTTAAACAAGGGATCTTTGTTGTTCTGTCTCTAACTCATAATGTGGTTCTAGCAGCACCTTACTGCTAAACTCTATCTGCTTTATTAATCCATCTGCATATCTATCCCCAACTTGCTTAGAGTAGCATTTAAAACCACAGGGCAACTCTGGAGTCCTTTTCTTTACTAAAAATCTAAGATATTTTACCTCAGAAGTCGTTCATAAGGACAGTCACATGTTATTTTATCTCCATGAAAACATCACAATTAAATATCACTCAGGGGAATTCAACCTCCATATTTTAACACCAGTTTTAACAGCAATATTCTGCCTGATGTCTTGAACTGCCAGGAATTTTAGGATGTTAATACATATTTGGCTGAGTTCTCTCCTGAGCAGCAATATTCATTTACGTGTTGAGTAGATTTTGCCTGCATGAATTAAAACACTTGGAAACCTTGAAAAGATCTTTATTTTTCACAGATGAAAAGTATTTATTTATTAGTGATTTAACCAACGTAGCTCAAGCAGCATTAAGGGATTAAAACTATACCTACACTGCAAAAACAATCTAGAAATAAGCAAAAATGTCTTAAATTAAGTGTAATTACCATTCATTTGAGTAGGTTAATGAGATGATCTGCCAAAGGAACGAGCATTTTTATTCTTAAAAAAAGATATTTAGATGAAATGCACTTGAAATAAGACAATGTAATTGTGTTTTCTTATTTCAAATGTAAATCGTCTTGTTCTATTGGCAAATGTCTCTTTTACCTCCTCAATTCAAGAACAAATGCACTTATTTTAAGAAAAAATGACTTATCTAGATTTTGATTTTTTCAAGTGTAGATCATCCTCTTAAGTATTATACTGCATTGACTAATAAAATGTTGAGTGGGCTTCTCACTTAGACTACTGACTTCTAACATTTTACATTATCATTATCTGCTTACCTTTATCACGACTGCACTATAAAAAATGAAACGGATGTATTCAACTTTTAGATTTTATAGTTTTGGCTTCTTCAAAAAAAATGAGCTAGTCAAAAACAGTAAGTTGAACCTTTTTCACACTATAGCATGTCTCTGAATTTGGGCAAAGTCTTTTGCATCGATGGTTTTTGCTTTCAGAAAGTGGACAACGAAACGGGACAGCATTATTGCAGCCTCTGCTTTTCTAAATCATAAATACGCAAATTTTTGCTATTTTTCTTGCTTCCAAATGTGTTTTGTGTGCCCTCATGCCCTTCAATAACCCGTCCTGTTTTTCTGTGTAGTCATTCTAACTCTGTAGATGCCGTGGATCTAGAAAACTCTGTAAAAAGCTTTGAGGGTAATGTTCTAAAATCCACTTTTATAGCCTTTAAAGCCCAAACAGGTTAAAGCAGAGAGTGGATGTTTCAGCAGGTTATAGTAATTGGCAGGGACTATGAGCAAATAATGCCTCATAGTAAAATGTTGTTTCCTCTGCTGCTAAAGCTGACTTCATAGGGTTCAGTCAGTTATTGGATTTCATGTCAAATATATCAAACCTCAGGGCATATTATTCCTTTTCATTACATCTCAATTTAAGTCAGACTAGATCTGTTTATAGGCTGAAAAAAAATATATTTCTGTGATGTTTCATAGTCTCTAAAGCAAAGAAGCCACCATCTAGGTGAGATTTGACTTGAATGAATATGTGTGGCTCTCTTTCATAAACTGATGGTAATCTTGTAACCTGCCTTCACCTAATTCTGCTGGATTTTGTCCTTATTCTACCCTCCCTGTCAATCTCTCATCTTTCTCTCTTTCTCTTTTTCATGGCATTATCTCAACATGCCACTCTGCTGTTGATACCAATAACATTTACTCCCCGAGAAGAGCATTATCGTCTAATGTGCTGATTTTCTCTGACCAAAATTACTTCCCAATCGCTTCTGGTGGAGCCTGAGCGTGCAGTGAAATTATTTGGCTGCCGTTGTCAGAGGGAATAACCCTCGTGAAAAGGTTTTGGGTTTTATGTGAGGGGTAGAGAAGTTCAGCGCCTGATGGACGCCAGCTGAATAAATGTTACTTACAGTCGGCTGTTCTGCTGCACTAATTACATCTGAATTAAGCAACATTGCTGCCTCCACAAATCAGTACGCTCCTAACAGCAAACTGCTATAATCCCTCTGTTAGTCTATTCAGCACTAGATAAACCACAGAAGAAACCGTATTTATGAGAAAACTAAGCATTATATCCAAAAAAGGAAGAAAAAACAGATTGGATCTGCTTTAATTTAATGCCTAATGTCCTCCTAAACCTCCTTAAACCACTTCCTGTCAGCAATACCAGCTGACAGAAATGTTCCTCTGAGATGGTTTGCAGCTTCAGAGAGTCACTAAAACGCTACAGCTGTGGAAATGCACGCATGCACTGCATTTGAACTCCTTTCATTTATTCATGACAGGTCAAACAGAGTGCTTCTTTAACAATCATGTCCCAAAAAAGCTACACTAAAATATTCCTGCAGCAGAAAACACTTTACCTTCCATTGAAATAACACACCACAGTGTACTGTGAACCCTGCACAGTTAAAAAAACATAAAAAATTTGATGTAATCTTTCCAAACAACCAAATTTGCAGTTTTATTTTTTATTTTTATTTGTTTCTGCATTCAATTAGACAAATGTAAAACAATCAGACGAGTCCCAGAAGCATACTTTCTTATTAACACATTTGTGATTTTATGTTGGTAAAATATTTTAGAATGAGTCTGGATATAAACAAAAATGGATGAAAATAAAAAATGAACCATGATGCTAAGTATTAGTATCACGGTTCGTACTACTAAATTCTCCAGCTTAACTGTTGGATTCACTGCAGTTCATTTTTATGGAACCAGTTTACAACAGTTGACTCAACACTTTACCATTCAAACAGATCAGTTTTATGTACAGAACTTTCCTGCACACATGGCATGTTTCCAGACACACATACAGGTTCACATTCAGTGACACATTTAAATTGGACAAAGTTATTATAAAGTGCAAAATGTTTAATTGAAATCCTTTATTGATGAAAACTCTCGGCTGTTCCAGGTTACAGTAGCTCACAAAAAAATGCTCTTGGTTGGTTGACAACACCCATTGCCACAGAGACAGCCAGTGTGCATATCTGCTGGTTCTCCAACCTCTGCAAGGCAGCAAAAAGAAAAAAAAAATGGCTTTACTCTTCTTCAATAAAATATCAGCTCTCTGAACCCCAGCTTTTGTTCAAGTTCCACCCTTACAGCAAGGCAAGTAAATTTATGTTCATGGAACAGTTGGACGAAATAAATTATTATTTTGTTAGGAATTTAGAAGCAATTTGAAAGTAATAAACTGGTTTTATTTTTTTTTTCTTCATTCTTTCTTTATTGTTAGAATAAGGACATACAGGTTTTTCCCTTGGCCTCAAATGCAATAAAAATCACTTCTTTGAATGGTTTGTTCTGCATCTAGAAAAAAAAAGCAGAGGCTTTTCATAACAGCCATGTTATTTCTGCATCAATAGTCACAGGGCTGCAGCCAGCAACCAATATCCCACATTTTAAATGAGACTGTATTGAAGTTAAATAGAATACAGAAAAGAAATGTAAACATAAACATAACATGCAATGTTGCTTTCACATCTACCATAGGATATTCATGTGAAATTTAGATTTAAATACAGTGGTGATAAAGCATTTTTACACACAAAAAAAATCCAATTAAAGAATGCTGGGCCCAGTTTGTTTAATAGTGAACACTGGTTTCACACCATAGTTTTTGGCTATGGAAGGAATCTACAATGCAGTGTTAATTCCAATGTTACTTGGTCACTTCCCACCTAAACTATTTGATAAATGAAAACTCAGGTAATTTTATTCGCTAGCCTGTGGATTATTAAAAGTGTCTCCATCCTGAGTTAGCTATCTAGTTTATGCATTGGAAATGGCAATGCATTTGGCTATGTATCTGGATATGGAGATGGACTTGATTAAAACTGATTCAATTAGCTTTTAATCCAATTTAATTGACCATACTTATACACAAATACTCCATAGAATGTATAATCTACACAATATTATTTTCCAAGTACAAGCAGTATTTGCCTTCCTTCATAGTTTCTACAAAATATTATCACCTTCTCTTTACCATCAATTGCATTAAGTAAATAAAGATCATTAAATAGATCCAACAGAGGCTAGATTTCTTTTTTCATGGTGGGACAAATGACAGTGATCCACCATGCATGTCCTATGTGGGACTGCAATCATGCTAATGCCTTAGAATAAATGGGTAGGCTAGTGTAGACAATGATGGATGAATACATTCCTTTAAGGTGTTACACCATCTATAATCTGAGTTTGTACAAATGGCAGTAAAACTGTGACATAGTCATTTAGCACAGTGTTGAGCCATTTTCTGTTCCCTGTTTTAACATAATGAAAAAATAAAAAAGGTAAGAAAAGAAAAGTAAATAATCTAACCACGGTCTGTTTTTTCTGAGATATTTACAATGCTATAAAGTCCAACAGGAAAAACATCTCAAATTTTAAATTTGGAAAAGTGTAGAGATTTGAAATGAAAATGTATAAATTCTAGGTTTGCATTGTATAACTGATACCTCCTTATTGAGCTCATTTTATTTGATAAGTAGATGAAATAAATGAAGGGAA